TCATGGGAACTGTAGTTTACCCCTCATAGCGCTATGATTCCCAGCACCCTTAACAAACTACCTTTACCTTTTTACATGCTTTAAATGTGATTTAAAATCCACGGTGCGGGTGTGACTTACACTGGGGATAATCCCTGCTTGGCCAGGACTTTGCTTAGACCTATTTATTTATTTAAAATGTGTATAAGCTGCTTTTAAGGATAAATACCCTCTCAAGCCTCAAAGTAAGCCCCCAAATGCAAGAAAACCGTAATACTAAAAATGAAAAACAGATAAGAACCACCCATAACACTAAAAACACAGCCAGCCCAATTAAAGCACGGAGATTCTATAAAGTATCTCTACTAAAACAATGTTATAAATTCAGCAACCTTATAAAGCCAGTTCAAGAGAATGCAATAGAAAATAAACAAGCCTTCAGGACCTTTTCAAAAGACCTGCAGTGATGTAGTCCTCTTGGCAGACTTGCATGATGTAGTCCTCTTGGCAGAGCTTTCCACAAATGCCCAAAGACATACCCTCCAACATTTCTCCGATGGAAATAGGGATGTCCCATTCCATAATTTGACTATGTCTGTCCCACACATCTTACTGGGTTGACCCAGCCACTCTAGGCAGCTTCCAACATATATAAAAACGTAACAAAACATTAAACATTAAAAAAACCTTCTCTATACAGGATAATAGGGACGCGGGTGGCGCTGTGGGTAAAACCTCAGCGCCTAGGGCTTGCTGATCGCATGGTCAGCGGTTCGAATCCCCGCGGCGGGGTGAGCTCCTGTCGTTCGGTCCCAGCTCCTGCCCACCTAGCAGTTCGAAAGCACCCCTAAGTGCAAGTAGAGAAAATAGGTACCGCTTTATAGCGGGAAGGTAAACGGCGTTTCCGTGTGCTGCGCTGGTGCCGGCTCGCCAGAGCAGCTTCGTCACGCTGGCCACGTGACCCGGAAGTGTCTCCGGACAGCGCTGCCCCCCGGCCTCTTAAGTGAGATGGGCGCACAACCCTAGAGTCTGTCAAGACTGGCCCGTACGGGCAGGGGTACCTTTACCTTTATACAGGATTGCCTTCAGACAGCCCGGGGGTCAGATAACTCCGTACCCCCCCAACATTTATCCAATGAAAAAGGGACTTCCTAAGGAGAAAAGGGGATGCAGGTGGCGCTGTGGGTTAAACCACAGAGCCTAGGATTTGCTGATCAGAAGGTTGGCAGTTCGAATCCCCGTGACGGGGTGAGCGCCTGTAGCTCGGTCCCAGCTCCTGCCAACCTAGCAGTTTGAAAGCACGTCAAAGTGCAAGTAGATAAATAGATACCACTTTGGCGGGAAGGTAAACAGTGTTTCTGTGCGCTACTCTGGCCACATGACCCGGAAAAACTGTCTGCGGACAAATGCCGGCTCCCTCGGCCTGTAAAGCGAGATGAGTGCTGCAACCCCAGAGTTGTTCGCGACTGGATTTAACTGTCAGGGGTCCCTTTACCTTTAAACCATAGTTAAAGGCAACCCCATGTAGAGCACATGGCAGTAGCCCAGCCTGGGTGTCACCGGTCCATGGAAAACTGAAGATCACTGGGTAACCTTGGTCCAGTCACTATTTTTTCACAGAGGTGTTGTTGAGGATAAACGGGGAGAACTATGTACAGCACTCTGAGATCATTGGAATAATAATGGGACATAAATGTGAAAATATCATTTGCCATTTTAGCCTCTCAACAGCCCTGCAATGTTGTTTAGGAGATAGCAATTAGCGGTAGCCCCAAACTACCGAATGAACTAAGAAGCGGCTGATTTGAATTCTAATCTCCCTGTACACTGTGGGCAGAGTTCAGCTCTGCAGGATCGATCAATCTATTCCTATTTACTAGAATCTCATGATCCACAGACTGGAGCTAGGCTACATACAGATGCACGCTGCCCCCTCAAAGAATTCTGGGCACTGTCATTTGTTAAGGGCTGCTAGAAATTGCAAGTCTTCTGTGAATTGTTAACGGCAGTGTCCAGAATCCTTGGGTGGAAAACATGCGCTCCAAATGGACTTTAAGGGCATGGCGTGTATGAGGTCCCAGGTACAAAACAATGTGCATGTGTGCGTGTGTGCTGGAGCCAGATGTGACCTGCATATACAGGTACAAAATCTACAACTGAGTTACCGCAGATCAAAACCTCTAGCCCAGTTTAGAAGGGAGGAGGAGCCTCTTTGTTGCTGTGACTGTTCCCGAGAGGTTTTTTTTAACGAAAGAAGCCCTTGTTGATTCTCTGCAAATCATGCACCGCCAATCCACCACCACTCAGTTCCCTGAGCATCTTTCTTCTGTGCTTCCCTCCACCACATACCTCAGCCTTCCTATGAAGAAATATGATGTTTAACTTAATACTCTCTTCTAATCTGAACCCACAGCCTCTTCCTCTTAACAGCTTTTCTCTAGGATGAACATACCTAGAACATCTTGTTTGTCTTCAGGTCCTCTGTTCTCCTGGAAGCTCCCTTCTGGACACATCTTCCTGGAACTGTGATGCCGAAACAGCATTAGTAGCAAAAGCTCCAGGCAGCTGCAGATGACAATTTTTAAACTGGCCTTGCTGCCACACTTTTTTCTTTTCTTTTCCAAACAGCCACCCATTGTACATGGATTTAGATTGCACAAACCCATCTTCTACTCTTGTTTTTGCTTTATTGTGCATTTTGTGTTCTCATTTTGCATTTCTGTGATCTTCAGATGAGGGGTGGTACACAAATTTAACAGATAATAAAACAATAGTAATAATCCTTCTACTTTGCTTGGCCGAGACCATGGAAGAGTTCAGCTAGAGAGGGTTTCCTCACTCCTGAGATTTTCTTTTCTTTTAAAAAGTTTTTTATTACTAAAGATTTTCTTGTGTAACAAGCAAGAAAGAAAGAAAGAAAGAAGAAAGAAAGAAAGAAAGAAAGAAAAGTACATATAGTATCTCCACTTTTGATTCATAGAGTCTTTTTCACAATCCATTTACATGCAGTATGAGGCTGCTGGAACCTGGGACTCTCTGTTCTCAATCTCCCACTGAACAATGGCCCAAGAAATTGCAGAGGTTTCCCTAGAAGGTAGATCAAGCAAAGTTTCGCCTGCTAAGTGTCTCCATATCAAGCTGCTGGCCGGCAAAAAGGAAAAGGAAAAGGAAAAAAAGCCAGCTGAGGAATATCCTTGCCAATCAACACAAACAATTGTATTTGTGCTATGGCATTGCTGATTATGCCAAGTGGCTCGCTCAGTCCCAAGGTGGAGAAGATGAGAACATAAAAAGCTGCCTTATACTATGTTGGACCATTTGTCCAGTTTAGTATCATCTACTCTGATTGGCAGAGACATCACCTTGCCAGCAATAGGTCCGTATAGTTAAAGCCATGGTTTTCCCAGTAGTGATGTATGGAAGTGAGAGCTGGACCATAAAGAAGGCTGATCACCGAAGAATTGATGCTTTTGAATTATGGTGCTGGAGGAGACTCTTGAGAGTCCCATGGACTGCAAGAAGATCAAACCTACCCATTCTTAAGGGAATCAGCCCTGAGTGCTCACTGGAAGGACAGATCGTGAAGCTGAGGCTCCAATACTTTGGCCACCTCATGAGAAGAGAAGACTCCCTGGAAAAGAGCCTGGCGCTGGGAAAGATGGAGGGCACAAGGAGAAGGGGACGACAGAGGACGAGATGGTTGGACAGTGTTCTTGAAGCTACCAGCATGAGTTTGACCAAACTGCGGGAGGCAGTGGAAGACAGGAGTGCCTGGCGTGCTCTGGTCCATGGGGTCACGAAGAGTCGGATACGCCTAAACGACTAAACAACAACAACAACAACTCTGACTGGCAGCATCTCTCCACACAGAAATCTTCCTGGTCCTTCCTGAAGAATCCTGGGATTAAAGTTAAGGCTTTCTGATGGCTCTCTGTCTTTTAAGAGTGGACAGAGCAGAACAGATTGATGGGCTCAAGGAACAGAAGAGAAAAAAAGGAGAAAACCTGCATTTTGAAATGTTGGAATGGAATTTGTTTATCACCTTTCAAGAGCACGTAGGCAATGAGTGAAGTTCTAGGTTCAAGCCTCAGCGTGAGCTCACTGGGTGGCATTAGGCCTTATCTGTAATTAGGGGGTAACAGTACTGGTCTACCTCACATGGCTGTGGTAAGGAATAGAGAAAGGTTGCAGATAATCAGTTATCAGGTGCAATCACAGTGCAACTTTGGCTGAGAGCCCAATATTGCTCACCGATGGAGCCACCTTGCTTAAGCCATGCCTGCTTGGGTCTTGTCAGTGTCTGAATGGAAGACTGCCTGGGAATCACAGCTTCACTGCCTTAAAATTCCACGATGGAAGAAATGTAGGATAATCGATGTACTTTTAAAAAAATTAAACCATCTTCGGTGCCGACCGGCAAAAAGATCTACCGAAAGAAATATACAGTGGTACCTCGGGTTACATACACTTCAGGTTACAGACTCCGCTAACCCAGAAATGGTACCTCGGCTTAAGAACTTTGCTTCAGGATTAGAACAGAAATTGTGCTCCGGCGGCGCGGTGGCAGCAGGAGGACCCATTAGCTAAAGTGGTGCTTCAGGTTAAGAACAGTTTCAGGTTAAGAACAGACCTCCGGAACGAATTAAGAACTTAACCCAAGGTACCACTGTACTATGAATAAATCTGTTTATTTAGTCATTGGAGCTGCAATCTTAGAATCATAGAATTGGAGAGTTGGAAGGGACCGCAAGGGTCATCCAGACTAACCCTCTGCAATGCACGAATCCTGCCCGCAGCCATCCCTGGGTAGATCTGCCTCTGGTAGCTTTCTTAGCTACCTGTCCTGCTTGGCCACTGGCGGGCTCCCCCGCTCCCCCTCTTGGACCCTCTTTTTCCTTCTTTACCTTTCCAACTTTTCGCCCTTTGCTCCTTTTCCTCCCTCCCTGTGCTTTTGTTTCCCCATTCTTCTCTTTTTAATCCCTCTCTGTGCCTGCTCCCCTCCTCTTTTTCTCCCTCCAAAGTCTGGGGGAAGGAGGGAGGTGGTGGTGGAGGAGGAAAACCCAATCTGAAGATGTTGACTACATCCCCTTCTGCACCACAGTTCCTCCTCTTTTATTGGATACTAGCGGGTCCTCAAAGGCTCCCAGGCTGTAATTAGAGGGTGGATCTTGTAAAGCAGAGGAGCGCTCTCTCTCTCTCTCTTCCAACTACAGACCAGCTCTCTCTCTCTCTCTCTCTTTTGCTTGTCTCTCTCCTTCCTCCTCAAAACTCCGCAGCCAACCCCTCAGGCTGGGACAGCGATGGCATCGCCAGTGCTGGAGGTGATCTCCCTGCTGTGCGGGATCAGGGGCCCCAGAGAGCCCTGACTTGAAGAAGCAAGAGGGATCTTTTGTCAGACCAGGTGGGAACCAAAACCCAGAGACCTCAAGGAGCTGAGGAAAAAGTAAGGAGTAATTTTACTTCTGTTCCCTCCACCCACCCGTTCCCTCCTCCGTTTCATTTTATAAATGGGCATTTGCAGCTTTCTAAATAACGCAACAGGCAGAACCTGGAGTTTAAGGGGTTGGGGGGAAGGTGTGCAATTGTGCACAATAAAAGCGAGAGTCGATCAGAGGTTAGCAAAATAGAATAAGGATGGGGTTTTTTTGCCTGAACTTTTATATAGAGTCCATTTGATGCTCTAGGGGTACAGCTCTCCTGAGCTGCCTAGTATTTGTCATCTGTATTTAGTTTGTCATGAAGGGATACTTGAAAAAAACACACAAAAACCAACTATTCCATTTCCTGATGTGTGTTTATATGTGTGTTGTTATTTCCTCACCACCAGCAGCACCAAAAGAAAAAGAAAAAGAAAAAAAGATTAAATAGACTGCAAATGTTTCACCAATCTGATTTTGAAAGAGAGGAGTTTTGTTCCAGAGAAATTGATTCTGTTTTGAGATATCTTTCCCCACCTCCATAGCTTCTGGAGTGAGGATTGAGAAACACGCAGAAGAAAACCAACTGTTCAGCCACTGTATTCACAAATATTTAGGTTTCGGCTGAGGACAGAATCTTAGTTCAGGGCTATTTTCAGATTTTATTGGCTACAGATATTTTCTTTCCCCCCATCCTGCTCTTCTGTTTACAACTTTGTTATTAAGATTTGTGGGTGGCTTTTTTAAAAAAAAAATCTAGCCATGATGCAAAGTAAAGGTTTAGGGTTTGAGGACCTGAAAGGGTTAAGATGATAACAAGCCATTTTAATTAAAAATGGAACTAATGATTGACTGGAAAATAAAACCAGCACTGAGCAGTTTTTCTTTTCTTTCTAAAGGAACGGCAAGTTGTTTGAAGTTTGATTTTTTTTTTTAAAAAAAAGAAAAGTTGTGAGCAATACAGTCTGGAAATAGGTGCATTAATAAGGTCATGTTCCACATTAAAGAAAAGCCTAGAGACAGACGCCCCTTCCTTCAAGGCTAAAATGTGCAACTTTGGGAAATGGAGAAGAAGGGGCAATGGACTTCATCAAGGTAGTGGCATTTGAACAGCCACGATTCCATTCTTAGATTTGTCTTAGGTGCTCAAAGTTAAAAAAACCTGCTTGTTTCAGGGAACTAAATAAAATTATCTTGTAAGTATTAGGATTCTTAAGCAATCACTAAAAACATTTTAAGTCCACGTTTAGTGGACATTTTAAGTCCACTAAAAAAAATTGCACTTTTAACCAGCTCTGGCATAGAAGATGGCTCTGTGAAGGATCCTTGTACACACACACACATTTTTAAATAATGGTATGAATCGTTGAAACCACTCAAACCATTCAGAAATCTGATTTTAGTTATCAGGATTATGTCGGCATGGTTGGTCCATTTGGCTAAACCATCTCCCTCCTTTCCAGAGGTTATTCTGCGCATTTTAAACACCAATAATCCTTAGCATCCGTACAACAACCCTGTAACTAGGCTAGTATTATTTAACCTCTGAGTCGAAGATGGGGAACTGAGGCTGAGTGATAGCAGCTTGCCCAAAATGGACGTAAGATTTAAGCGGGAGTTTTTCCTGTCCCACGCAGATTAGCTCCTCTGCGTCTCTAAACTCTGCAAGGAAGGAGTTCTTAGTGCTCAGTTGAGTGTGCAGGCCAAATGTTTAAGTATAAACCAGCAGCATGCAACAGGAAACGCACAGACTGCGTCTAGTCCACGGGCTGATGGTGATCCATTCTTGGTTCACTGGAGCGCCAGATTACTTGTTGTTGAAGATTATAGTATCTCTGCCGAAACTCAACCTAATTAAGAGCTGGCTCCAAGATTTTGTGGGTCCTGGTGCACAGCATGCTCAGCGCCTCCTACTTGAAAAGAGTGAGATACGGTACCCTAGATCTCCTGCGCAGTGGAGATGGTACTGTTGTTAGGATGGTGGTCCCTCCGCTGGACTTGGGGACCTGACAAATGCCCACCATTGTCACCTTCTGTGGCTGATCCTGCCTTGAACAACCACTGAGGGTTTTTGAACATCTGGTGTCTTGCACTGTGTCGTCATTGGTCTTTATAACCCCAGAGCTGTCTGCTCTGGCTGGTGGTTTCTCTCAGGCAATAATAATAATAATAATAATAATAATAATAATAATAATAATAATAACAATTTATTATTTATACCCTGCCCATCTGGCTGGGCTTCCCCAGCCACTTTGGGCGGCTTCCAAAAAATATTAAAATACTGTAATACATCAAACATTAAAAGCTTCCCTAAACAGGGCTGCCTTCAGATGTCTTCTAAAAGTCTGGTAGTTGTTGTTCTCTTTGACATCTGGTGGGAGGGCGTTCCACAGGGCGGGCACCACTACCGAGAAGGCCCTCTGCCTGGTTCCCTGTAACTTGGCTTCTCGCAGTGAGGGAACCACCAGAAGGCCCTCGGCGCTGGACATCAGTGTCCGGGTAGAATGATGGGGGTGGAGATGCTCCTTCAGGTATACAGGAGCGAGGACATTTAGGGCTTTAAAGGTCAGCACCAACACTTTGAATTGTGCTCGGAAACGTACTGGGAGCCAGTGTAGGTCTTTCAAGACCCGTGTTATGTGGTCTCGGCGGCCGCTCCCAGTCACCAGTCTGGCTTTCCCCCAGAACTTGCTACCCGACCTGATCACGAGCTGGAGACATAGAGGACTGAATGTACACCTTCCAAGTACCCCTGTTTTCCAGGGAAAGTTCCAGATTTGCAGAAGCCATCTCGGTTTCTGATTTGATGTCCCGCTTTTCCTTCGGACATCCCTATTTTCATTGGAGAAATGTTGGAGGGTATGGAGTTATGTGACCCCCGAGCCAAGGAGATAAGTAACTACGGTCGTACCTTGGTTTTCAAACAGCTTAGTTCACAAACAACTTGGAACTCGAATGCCACAAACTCGGAAGTAGCTGTTCCGGTTTGCGAACTTTGCCATGGAAGCCAAACGTCCGGCGTGGCTTCCGCTGCTTCCGATTGGCTGCAGGACGCTCCTGCTGCCAATCGGAAGCCACGCCTTGGTTTTCAAACGTTTCGGAAGTCGAACGGACTTCCGGAACACATTTTGTTTGAAAAACAAGGTACAACTGTATAAAACGTTTAGTAGATATCTGAAGGCAGCCCTGTACAGGGAAGTTTTTTAAAATGTGTAATGTTTTATTATGTTTTTATATCTGTTGGAAGCCGCCCAGAGTGGCTGGGGCAACCCAGTTAGATGGATGATGATGATGATGATGATGATGATTGAATAGGGCATCCCTATGTTCATTAGAGAAATGTTGTAGGGTGTGTCAATGTGGGTCATGTCCATAGCACACATTTAAAGCGCATAACTTCTCCCACGGAATCCTAAGAACGGTTGTTTGTTACGTGTGCTGGGAATTATCGCTCTTTGACGGGCAGACTAGGGTTCCCAGGATTATTTGTGGAAAGTCATATGCTTTAAATATATGGTGTGGGTGTGACCTAGGGACCATCTATGTGCAAACACATACTCTTCCAGTGAGCTAGGGACCCTCCCATCGATATTCCCCCATTTCAACGTGAGGTGAACAGTTTACTTTGGAGCAGAGTCCTTCAATAGCAGAAATTGTTCTTTTTGCAAGGGAATTAACTGGTGGTTGAAAGTGGCTTTGTTCTCTTGGTGTCCGTGGGGCTAAATCAGCCGCTGTGGTAAATTGCCCTTAAGTTAAGGCCGGTTTTGCTTTACTGGAACCAATGGTAGCAATGTGAAGAAGCTTCTCTTCTCTCTGTAATGAACTAGATGATATAAACATGAAATCACTGCAATGGAACCAAGAAAACCCTCTGCTTCGATACTGATTTCAGGCAAATCTAGACATTTTACTTATTATCGCATTAATATGCCACCTTTTCTCCAAGAAGCTGAAGTTGGTGTTCATATCTCTCCCTCTCTTCATATCAACTTCACAACAACCCTGTGAGGGAGATTAGGCTGGGATCAAGTGATCCAGTTAGCTTTATGGCTGAGGGAGGATTTGAAACACTGGTTTCCCAGGTTCTTATTAAACCTGGCACGGTTTGTGGTTGTGGGTTTTGTGTGGGTTTTGCTGCCTGTCCGGCAGCGTGTGAACTGGTTTGGACTGTGCTATTGGAAGAAGAAGGCCTTTAACCCTTTACGCTGCCACGGTCCTAATCTAACTGGGTGGGTATGCGGTTCCACACCTGATGTTTGCTTCCATCGGCAGCACTCCTGTCAAATTCCTTGTGAATAGGACCCAGTGCCCTCCAGGATAGCACAGTCTGGGTCTGAAGTGTGTCTTGAGGGAAGGGGTGGTGGAAGTAGCAGCCCCAAGTGGGGTCTTCTTCCCCAATACAGCTTTGGGATTGTGCCCCACAGAGCGTCCACGAAGCAGTCTTCTCAAAAGCAGCACATCGTTTTAAATTTTGTTTTGCATTCTGCGCCTGGATCCTTCTGGGCAGACTTCCTCAACTTTGGCCCTCCAGATGTTTTGGGACTACAATTCCCATAATCCCTGACCACTGGTCCTGTTAGCTAGGGATCATGGGAGTTGTAGGCCAAAATCCCGAGGTTGAGGAAGCCTGCTTTTGGGATTCCGATGCTAACCACGTGAGTTGCGCAAACCCTTTCAGGTTTCTAGAGATATATGCAGGTTTGATCCTTCCAATTCTACAATTCTATGATTACCGTTGGACACAGGTGGCGCTGTGGGTTAAACCACAGAGCCTAGGACTTGCCGATCAGAAGGTCGGCGGTTCGAATCCCCGCGATGGGGTGAGCTCCCATTGCTCGGTCCCTGCTCCTGCCAACCTAGCAGTTCGAAAGCACATCAAAGTGCAAGTAGATAAATAGGTACCGCTCCGGTGGGAAGGTAAACAGCGTTTCCGTGCGCTGCTCTGGTTCGCCAGAAGTGGCTTAGTCATGCTGGCCACATGACCCGGAAGCTGTACGCCGGCTCCCTCGGCCAATAAAGCGAGATG